CTTCTTGATAGAACCGGGGACGGGTGTGGACTGCGGGATAAAGAAGTGCCCCCCCAAATGCTGATCGTTTCTTAGGCAAAGAAGTATCTGTAGGGTACTATAGTCTCTTGAAACGGTAATGTTGCCGTTTACCAAATGTGCGAATGCGACTGGAGAGAGCAATGGAAGGTATTCATTCTGTGATTTAACCCTGGCGTCAGGTCAGGCAGAAGTGCAGTAGATTCGGGCATTTTATGTGGTGATGCGTTGTCAAGATGGGAGCCCCCCCAGGATATAATATTTTTTTGATTTATTCCATTTTAATTGTTATTTTTATTTATTTTATTTTGTTGTACCTCATCCCCTCCCCTGCAAGTACCTTTTCCCCTTTTCGACTTCAACTTAGTTCACTCCGGCTTTTTATCATTGGTCGGGACTTCTCGTCGCCCCCATTGGGTCTCTCAGAGTGCCTTTTGCTGCCCTCTCCCGAGTCTTCCCCTCCCAATCTCTTCCACACCGTCTACTTTTCCCGCTTCTGATTGACTCGAATCATTGCCATTTTTCAGAGTTTCGATTGGTGCAAAAGGGCGGACGACTTCCAGAATCTACCTGAACTGGATACCTCTCCAGGGCTCCGGCAGGGCTCATCATCAACCCCTGTAATCCCACCCTATGACCCTGGCACGCCTGGCTCCGTCCAAGATGCACTCAAAGATGCAGAGTCTACAAGTAGAGACGTTTTGACGGGGGGGTGTGAGGGGCAGCAACTGGTCGGCTTAAATCGACATGTTTTCACAATGTTCCATTGGCGATGAATGAATGTTGAAAAGCGGCGCCGACTCGAGTGCAAATTCGCCCCCGCCGAACTTCCATCACCGATGCGAGCATTCCCTCTTCCCTTCTCCCATCTCTCTGGCTTCGTCTCTGTCTCTTTGCGTGTCTTCCTCTTCTCAAGGCTCCTCCAGGGTGGGGGTGTGAGTGCATCTACGAGAGGCCCCCATCATACGCAGGAGCAGCAGCAGCAGCATGTATGTGAGGCATGTATGTATGCGCAAAGGCGGAGCTTCCTCTACGAGGTGCATCGCATGTGATCTCTGGAAACGAAATTGCGTTTCTCGAGAACACAAGGCATCTTCAATCGAGAAAATGTAGGTTGTGCTTTGCTTTGCGTTGCTTGCGCAGTGCGTTGGGAAGTGTAAGAACGCGGGCAACCTGGGCAGATCTTACACCCGCAGTTCCAAGAGCGGCGGTGTAAGTGAGTGGCCTTTTGCCTTGCCCCCCTCCCCCTCCCAAGTTTTCCGTCGTCATCGTCAGCCGGTAACGGTTGACAAAGTTGGTTCCAATTCGCACCCAAAGAGTTGAGTGAGCCGAGAGAGTATCTGGACTAGCACCGAGAAGTGAGAGTGAGTGAGAGGCAGCCCAAAGTCGACCTTATACGCAAAGGTACCCAAAGAGACCCCCAAATCAGCCCAATCGTAAGGGACGCTTCATCATCATCGAACCCAACGACGTACGAAAGCCTTCCTGCACTTCTGTCTGCCTAATGTCATGAGTTGCAGAAGGGAAAAGAGTGCAATCAAATGACGGCGAGCCCTTTTCCGATCTGATCTAGCGGCGCATTGGCTTCGCGTCACCCCATTCCCTGAACATGCGTCTTGCTGCTGTGGGCATCTCTTCTTCTTCCTTTTTTCTGCTGCCCGTGTGGATCTGCAAATTCCGTGCGCCGTGTGCTACGATACGCCGTAAACTTAGATGAGGGGAGTTCACGGATAGGTCCCCTCCCAACATTGATGGTTTTTGTCTGATTTTCTCTTCGGGTATTTGTTAGGAATCGGCAAACTGGGTTCCATGTACCGGGGGTGGAACCTCAAATGCAACGATGATGATGAGCATGGCAAGGCAGCCAACAAGGCATTCCTGTTTACCTGGCTACATGATACACAGGATACCTGTTTTCAAACCCGTTGGTATCCAAGTATCAAGTATCTAACCCCCTCGATGTGAATTCGGTTCTCACTCGCCTCCCGTGTGAGTGGGATCGTCAGGTTGAACTCTGAAGACATGCAATGCCGTGCGGCGCGCGGGGGCTTGATGCGGGCGTGACAGACAGAAAAAAGGCCACTGCTCACTGAGTGATCAATTCAGTTCCGGTCCATGAACCCGCTCAACGCAAACGGGTTGCCGTGGTCCATGGCATGACCAACTGTTTCCCTTCCCCCTCCCCATCTTGACAGCCCACGGTTCGCCGGGCTGCCTCTTCGTCCCTCTTCGACACCGGCAAGGACCCGAGATGCCCCACGCAAGGTGTCCCCCGGATGACGAACGGCGTTCTGGAATACCCCGAGCGGTGGTTTGTGAATGGAGGGGGATACGGGCTTGCATGAGAGAGATGCCCCCTTTTGCCGGGGATTACCCTGGGAGCCATCTGACGTTTGAACGTACCGCATGGCAGAAGAAAAAAGAAAAATAGAACAGAGAATCGTAGCATACTGGCGCGCGAGCAGAAAATTTTCTGGTCTGAGGGACGAAGGGAGGTCCATGGCTTGCCCGGGTCTCGAGCCGGAGCCGGACCAGGAGGTCCAGGATTTTTCTTGGTGCGGAATGTGTCAATTGGAGGGGAAAGGAGGGGGAGGGGCAATGAATGGCTCGTCTCTCTATCTCTACGCAGGCACTCGCTCCAACGGCACTCCCATGAGTCCCATCCAGACAGGCACACCTTGGACAGTTTGCTCGCCAAAATACCTAGAGACTTTGAGAAGCCGGCACGTCCTCGACGACGACCATTCTCGAACTCGACTAGCCGGCTAGTGTTGCAGTAGGGACTTTGAATGACAGTCATGGCGCCAATAGTCACATTGGGGCGGTAGTCGCAAAGGTTAAGGTAATGATGTATGAGCTATCCAGGCCAGGCTAGGTAGTGTACCTACCCCAGTCCCAGCAAGGGTCAGAAAATGTGAGGTATCGCCCATAGGTCGAGATCTCATCTGGTGATGGACACGGGGGCTTTGGGGTTTGCATGGGGGATGACTGGGTAGGTGGTAGAGTGAGTGTACTGTGTAAGAGAGCCAATGCTTCGGTTATGAGGCTCGAACCCCCCTCCATCCTCCATCTGGTGTACGCCACCAAAGAGGTTTGTGAGTGAATCGGAAGAGGAACCGCAGGCACTGACCACCGAGAGGTGAATTTCCCGCCCTCGTCCGTCACCGATTCCGAGCTTCCGTTCGGGTTTGGGCGCTTGTGTGTAGTAACGGGCGTAGGATGTGAAATTGATGTGAGACTGAAAGGAGAAGAATCTCACTGAGAACACTACGTGAGATGAGACTGAGCGGTGACGACTGCTGATCTGACGGGTGAAACGAGAAAACGGTCTGTGCCACGGAAAACGTGCCCACCAAACCTTCTTTTTTTCACTTTTCTTAGACCATTGCGCTTCTAGATTCTTTTCCTCCGGACTTTTTTGAGACTTGTCAAACTCCCGAGTTGCAAAGGGAAAAGAGGGTGACATTGTAACCTCGAAAAGTTGAACACGGGACTACGAACCAACACCGCAATCGCCGGTGCCCCTTGCTCCCTTGCTCCCCTCCTACAGCAATGGGGTAAGGTATAGATATGTCATGTCTTCCAGGGGGTCGGGCGGCGGCCACATGGGAAAAAGGCGTATCTCAAAGAAACAGACACACGAGGGGTGTGGTGGTGGGACAAGCTACACGCAACATCGCACATCCGCCTCTCACCTATCCGAGACCATCGCTGGCTTTTTTGCCCTGCTGCCCTTCTTCCCATGCTGCACGGCAACATGCCATGGCATGAACCGGGAAACGTGAGGAGCGGAGATGCAGATGCAGTCAAACAGGGCTGCTTGATGATGGGGCACCACCTTACTGGATAACGAGCCGTTGGTCCATAACTTGAAAGAGAAGAAGGGCGAGCTGTCAACTCCCAATCAACGCCTTTCCTCGATTTGCTTCCAATGATTATTCGAGATCAGTCGGCGTTACATTGTCGTCGTATCTCCCCAATCCCCAGTGCCCATGTCACTACTCACTCGCCTCCCATCGACGCCATCCGCGAGCCATCGCCCATCCTGCAGATACACTCGCAGGCCTCTCTGCATCTCCCAACTCTCACGCGTTTCTCACCTGTCAGCCGCGGACACAAAATTCTCTAATCAAATCATTCATTCTCAGCCCCAGGCCAAGACTGTTTCTCCGCTATACAAATGGGTTCAAGCCTCAGGTGCACAACACAAGTGTGAAGACTGAAGATGCAGAATACAGCCACGCAAACGCCTTCCGTATGTGAGTAAGGTTGGGTGATGTAGCATGAGAGCGAGAATGAGAAGAAGGGGGAAGCACAGCGCAGCGCCGGCACTGCAGTGCCGCATGGTTTTCTGTATCCTGCACGGATCGACCGTCGTGTAAGGTCAATCTAAAATCAGACCGACGGTTCAACATCTTTTAGTTGTGTGTTTCCTCCCAAACCGCTTGTATCCGCGCAATCCCCAACGTCTCACGCAGCTCCCTCTCACACAGCACGCCTGAAGCTCGCTCTCGTGTCGTGCCGCCCGTCAATCCCGCCTCGTATATTTATTTCTCTTCTTGTAGAACTCCAAAAGCCACGCTTCTCATATGCTGTACTCATCCTACCTCGGAAAATATGCCAATGGCTGAGCCTAACATGCCACTTGGTGAGGATGACAAGGCAAAGGCAAGGCAAAAGCGCAATAATCACCTGTGAACGAAAGACCCGAAAGCTGCACGACATCGCCCAGCCCACGCAGCTGCCCGCGTCAAACAGGCCAGACCGTCCTCAGCCCAGTTTTCACACAAGCCCCAGCTCCGACATGGGACCATTTTGGTATCATGGTGATGATGATGATGATGTAGTTGCTCCTTTGCTAGTGATAATTTCGCCCGTGGTGTGACGAAAGCGCGATGTGACGATGATCATAGAAAGTCACATATCATCATACTCATCTTTCATAGATAGGGCTAATCTCACGCACACAGACACACACCCACCACTCACTCGCTGCTTCTGCGACTTCAAGTTGGGAGGGCCAAGACGCAAAGCTCAAACTCACAAGTCGCAACAAGGAGGTCGATCCTTTTCACTGCCGTTCCCAGGACGCTAAGGCAGTGACGATGTTTGACCGCTCAGATGGTTCCTCAATACTTTTTGACAAGAAACCTCCTTCTTCGGGGCCTTGTCCTTGTACTCGGTATCATCGCGCGAGAAAAGATGCATGTCAGATGGGTGAAAAAAAGTGAGGGGTCGAACGGAGACGGAGACGATGAGGGAGGGGGACGGAAAGCCAAGCCAGCAGGGCTAAAATAGGTGTAAGAAGGGGGATAGTTCTGATTGATTTTATCGTTATCTTGTAATAGCAGCTAACTGATATATACCCGTGGCTTTGGGACTTCAGGTCCCCTCTGTACGTCTCCTTTGATTCCGTACCTGGTGTTTCCGTTCCTGTATTCGCGTCAAACAAAAATGAAAAAAAGTGTACAAACTTGGTGGACGAGATACCCCGTCGTTGTCGTGATGATGGTATGTTTCCTCGTCCCCGGCCGTCCTCGCATGCCATTGCCATTGCCATACCATACCATGCCTTGCCCCGCCCCCATCCCCTACCTCTTATCCCAGTGGACACGATATGAACGCCGATTAATCATGCAAAGTAGAAAGCCATTGCCAGCCATTTATACGAGGCAGAAGACGCGCCGTTTTTTCCCTAACCACCGACTCCCCCCAACTCTCTCTTCTTGATACTGATTGCCGTTTGGTGTACTAGCAGCCGTCGGTGAGCTAGTCAAAGTTCCTTTCCGCCCGTCTAGTTTCCCCCGCCGGCCCATGAGTTCCGCCTTCTAGCCAAAGATTTTGAGGAATCCCCAAATACCAGCCCCGCTGAGGACCGGGATCGTCAAGTTATCGTCCCAACCGAAAATGTCCACCACCTCACTGGCGGCCGCCACAAATCCAGACCACAGACCCATGGCTCCGAGCGCTAGCGGTCCGGTGATAGTAGCCTGAGCGTCCGAAAGCCCCACGGCGCTTGCGATGGTGCGGGGTAGATGCAGTGCTCCCGTGAACATGAAGGGGTAATTTTCGTCGCCGGGGAAAGGTCCCGTTCTCGGTGCGAGCCATCCCCAGAAGAAGTATGAAGAGGCGATGCCGACGAGGAAGGCGGCTGTGGAGCCTGCAAGCGACTTGCCGCGGCGGATGCGCGGGGTGTAAGCGCCGTACATGCGGCCAAAGGTGCTGGCGGCGGTATCGCACCAGCTGAGCAGGAGGATGGCCATCACACCGACGTCCTTGGGCATGAAGCGCATCGAAATCCACGCGCCAAGCAGGTAGAAGATGACTCCGTTCCATCCGGCGTATTCGCTCTCACGCATCAGCGCGCCGAGGACCGAGACGTAGAATCGGTTGAAGGAGGCGTAGTTGTGACGGAGGTAGTCGGCGGTCGTGATGGGCATCAGCGCAGCAAAGAGCCACGGTGCGACTGAGCTTGTCTGGATACCCGATACGTAGAGCCACAAAGTGAAGAACCCGATCGAGACGTGCAAGATCTTCCTGGGCACCTCGTGCTTGTGTACAAAGGTCCGCCACTTCCTGTGAATCGGTATCAAGCCCAGCGGACTGGGGCTTCGACTGAAATCGCGCCAGCTCCATCCCGTAGGAGCGGCAGAGGGAGGAGCCAGGTGGCCGTTGGCCGTCGTAGCTTTGGCTTTGCCGTTCGCTTCGCCGTTGGCGGTGACTTCTTCCGTGATCGGTTCGCTCGGGATGATGGGCGATTTGCCTCTCTTGCTCTGCGACTTGACCGTGGTCATGGGCGTGATTCGGCGGGACTCGATGGGTGATCGACTTCTCGTGCGCGATCTGCGCATTGTCGATGGCTCGTAGTCATCCTCTTCTGCGCGCTCCTCCAGCGGCTGGGGGGTTGTTCGCCTCTTCTTCGCCGCAGACCTCGTCACCGGGCCAAAGTAGTTATCTTGTGACGCTGCATCAATCTCTGAAGGTGTCGGGCTCGGGGAGATAACCCGCGGGGTGGAGGGTATGGCGCGGACGGACGACATGTTGTAAGGGAAGGGCGGGAGTGCAGGACAGACGACAGCTCCCGTAAAGAGGCGTTGGAAGGGGAACAAGAGTCGTCTCAGCGGCCAGAGTGAGGAGTGGAGATGTCTGTCTCTTCTAGATAAACGGGAGTCGTGGGGGTCCAAGGCGGGAGAGACGGAGGCGGAGTCGGCGCGGGCGTGGGTGTCGTAGATGGCGATGGGTGCTGCCGGTGAACAGCGATTACCGGTATTCCTTTGATGGCTATGCTGCTGGGCCTGGGGTTGGAGGATGGAGGCTGGTTGGGCTATTGGATCCAGGGTGATGTTTGAGAATGCAGCAGAGAGCAACTCCGCCGCATGTTGAGCCGGGTTGGTACGGGGGGGAAGAAGACCACGGAGACATGCGGTCGGTCAGCAGGCAGCGTGACATGTGTTTAAGGACGAGGTGTTTGGGCCGGATCGTCGGTGTCTTGTTGTGCTGCGAGTCTGCCGATTCCTGGGGACTGGGAGAGAGGATTTTTCGCGGGCCAAGGTACCGAGTACTTGCAGCGACGTATTCAAACGGTGTTTGAGGACCGGCCGCACTGTTGCTTTGGTAAGCCGTCTTATCTGCACTCGAACTTTGTACCTCAGGTAGAACCGAAGAACCTTACCTTAGTACCTAGGGAAGAGCCTCTCAAGGTTGAGGTACTCATTACTTCGGTGTAGTCATCAAGGTAAGGTAGGTACAATAGGTACGCAGTACATTTTCTGGGAACCCTTGGGATGTTGAAATGTAATTCCCGTTTCTCATTCATCCATTTTCAACATGGAGATTAAACAATCAACCATTGCGGTTCTCACAAGATGTTAGCACAAGCAAAAGTCAAGGATCATCCAAAGACGACTCTCAGGGTGAACCACAGTCTGAACAAACCGCAGCACAGTGTGCCGAGGGCCGAATGACCAACGCCCCGAATCCCACTCCAAAATGTCCGGTGCACGCGACTACCCAGGAATGGCCGGCCTGTCGGGCGCACCGCTGCACTCCAAGTCCATTTGGCAGGGGGGTTTTCTCAAGGGCACGATTCAATCTGCGGTGATTTTTTTTTTCTCTGGTTCCCTCCTCAGTGGGTTGCGCTACACCATTTACTGCTGCAAGCATGTGAAGCCATCTCCGGCCGTCCCGCCGGTTCCATGTCCTTCTCAGGCGTGGCTCCTCTTCTCTGCGCGCCGGGTGGGTTCGACCGGTGGATGCACTTCATCCCGTCTCTCCGCTGCCGAGCTGCCTTATGTAGGCAGCCTGTACTCGGTACGTGCGCAAAGTGACAAGAGACATGCGAATCTGCTTCTTCCTTGATTTCTAGACCGCTCAACTGCAAAAACGGGCTGAAAGTTTTGGGCGGGATGTCAAGGCGAGTGGCTGAGGACGGTTGGGGGTCAGTCGGGATGATATCACTGGCTTTGTCCGTGGGCGGTCGGACAGAGACATGGCGCCAAGGAGGCCTCGAATGCTGTCACCGCCCCACGTGAGCACACCCACTCACCTCACCTGCACATTGAGGTCTGAGATAAGATAAGATGATAAGCAAGTTGTATCGATAACGATAACGAAAAAAGTTTCTGGAAATCAAGCCCCTCCAGCTCGGACGGCCTCATCGAAGTCGCATGCGGCGCAAATCCTCCGTGTGCCTGACATCCTCTCGACATTTGTCCCAGACCAATTGAACCATGGCGCCCGAAGAGAAGAAGAAGGACCCTAGGGCCTGGAGAGGTCTCACCCCTCCCTTGGCTGAGTACGATCCCGTGGCACTGCTTCTACTTGCGCATCCAACTAACATTTGCCCAGATGGATCCTCGACTTCGTGTCCAGCCAAGGCTTCCAGCGCATGACGCCCGTACAAGCAGCTTGTCTACCGCAATTCCTTGGAAACAAGGACGTCGTAGTCGAGGTAAAGACGACACCAGTCGTACTAGCATGTATCTAGACTAACGAACCCAGGCTGTCACCGGCAGTGGTAAAACGCTCGCCTTCCTCCTCCCGATCGTCCAAAAGCTCATGCGCCTCTCCGAACCGACGAAGCGCGGCCATGTATTCTCCATCATCGTCTCCCCAACCCGCGAACTCGCCATTCAGATCCATACCGTCCTCCAGTCCCTCGCCGGCTTCCACCCCCCGTCCGCCGAGATTCTGCCTCACCTCAAAGAAGACGAAAAGCGCCCCGACACGACGGTGCCGGTTATCGTCCCTCAGCTGCTCGTCGGCGGAGTTACCACCACACAGCAAGATCTCAGCTACTTCGTCAGACATGCGCCCAACATCTTGGTCTCAACACCCGGTAGACTTGTTGAGCTTCTCGCGTCCCCGCACGTCCACTGCACATCTTCCACGTTCGAAATGCTGGTTCTCGATGAGGCGGATCGTCTGCTGGATATGGGCTTCAAGCAAGACATTCAGAGGATTCTGGGATACCTGCCGAAGCAGAGGAGAACAGGCTTGTTCAGTGCCTCAGTCTCGGAGGCAGTGTCACAGATTATCACCGTCGGTCTGAGAAACCCGGTCAAGATTGCCGTACGCGTAAAGAGCTTAAGGGATGGAGGAATTATTGAGGACCGGAAAACACCAATCAGTCTGCAAATGTCCTACCTCGTCACACCAGCAAGCCAGAAGCTTCCGGCACTGAGCAAGATCCTCGAGAACCTCAACCCGCGGCCACAGCGCAGCATTGTCTTCTTGTCGTCCTGCGCTGCCGTCGACTACTTCCAACACGTCCTTCCTACCATCATGCCGGAAGGCTTCACACTCGTGCCCCTGCACGGAAAGCTCCCTCCCAAGGCAAGAGAGAAGAGTTTCAACAAGTTTGTCAACTCAGTATCTCCATCCGTGTTGCTGTGCACAGATATCGCAGCAAGAGGTCTCGACATCCCGCAGGTAGACTTTGTCTGCCAGGTTGATCCCCCTTCAGATCCCAAGGTCTTCATCCACAGGAGTGGACGTGCCGGAAGAGCAGGCAGAAAGGGACTGTCAGTCGTCTTCCTGCAGCCCGGTCACGAGGAGGACTACATTCCCTTCCTCGAAGTCCGCAAGACCCCGATCTTCCCCCTGACGAAACCCGAAATCACCATCACCGAAGAGGAAGCCAACGAGGCGTCAGAAAAGTTCCGCGACGTCCTCCGCAGCGACCGCGCCTACCACGACAAGGCGCAACGAGCTTTCGTGAGCTGGGTACGCAGCTACAATGCTCACCTGACGACCTCCATCTTCCGCATCAAGGACCTCGACTGGGCCGACCTCGGAAAGGCCTGGGGTCTGCTCCGTCTGCCGCGCATGCCCGAGACGAAGAACTGGGAGGGAGACAAGTGGCTCGGCAACGAGGACTTTGACTGGGAGAACTTCACCTACAAGGATAAGACGAGAGAGGCTGCGAGATTAGCAGCAGCAGAGGCGGAGCGCAACGGCGAGAAGGCTGCTGCCGCGGACGAGGTGAAGCGTAAGCGCAAGACCAACGAGGCGTGGAGCAAGCAGACGGAGAGGGACGACGTGCGGGTGGAGCGCCGTGACAAGAGGAGACGCAAGAGGGAGGCCGAGCGGATGTCTACCATGACGGAAGAGGAGAAGATCAAGGCGATGGAGCTCAATGAGATGATTGCGGAGATTAGGAAAAAGAACCAGGCCAAGGCAGCGGCTGGCGGGAAGGACGATGAGTTTGAGGGATTCGATGATTAAGAAGCGTCTGTTGTAATACTATCTATCGATGTCGTTGAATTCCTGTCCAGAGGGGTTTCGGCTTGCGGCTCAACGGGTGGAGGGTGTGGAGGCGATACCCCCCGCGAACGCTTTTTTTGGCCTCACACGATGCAATCTCACGAGACCCTCTCTTCCACCCGCCCCATCCCGTCTCCGTCCTCGTCGCCAACCCTTTCGGCTTTGAGGCCTACGTTTCCACAGCGGAAACAAGATTTACACAATCATGACTCACTCTCCACACTGGCCCTTATTGAACAGAAACAGGGCACTGGTCATCATCGACAAGCACTAATATAAGCACAATAGCTCAGGGGTAGAGCGCTGGGCTCATAACCCAGAGGTCCCTGGATCGAAACCAGGTTGTGCTATCAATTCTTTTCCTTTTTCGACGTCATGAATTCCATATGTTCTAGGTACATGTACACATTTCTCTTTTGCCATTGTACCCTATCTTTACAGTCGTTCAGGTATGTATTTGCCGCCCCTGCACATTTCAACATATTAAAGAAAGAGTACCAGCGATCATGAGCTATTTTCGTCGAACTTGGGTCTTGCGAAGAAGGAGGTTTCGCAATCTCGAAGGTGTCTTGCACTTTGCTTCATATGACTTAGACATGATGGCCTCCTGAGTGAAAGGAGGGATAGTTTCCAGTCGCCCAGCCCTGCCGAGACACATGCTCGTCCCTAGGGGCCCTCCTCGTTTCTGTCTCGAAGGCAATGACTGTCCTTGTCTTCCAGATGGTGTCCGGTGCTAGCTGAGAGGGTTGCTCGTAGTGAGGGAATCGATGCAGAGTGATTGTGGGAAGTCGGGATAATGGAACCGTAGCTGAATTATGCCACATTAGTCCAAGTCTTCTTCGAGTCCTAGATTACTACCGTTCTTACCCTGTTCCATTCGCTGTCTTCTGCGAATGTAACAATTCCACAGGACAAGGCATGTAGGTGATGACCCTACTACCAAGGCAATGATGGCAATGATAACTTCGAGGGTTACCTCCATGGTTTGTGGCGCGTAAGAATTGCGTATTGAGAATACGAGTATCTGTGTTCTTTAGTGCGAGATGCTATGCGGTGGGGTGATGGTGGCTGGCTACAGATTACAGAAAACCCGGACAGTGAGAATCAGCTTGGGAAAGACATCGTAAAGCTCAATCCAAGCTGTCATCTTATGTTAAATCCTGGCTCATGGTTCATAACGGTCATTTGCTCCGATCGACAGCCGATATTGTGTTGCGGTATATTTTGCCCGACTTCGGCTTCGACGAATGAAACACCTTAATTGGCCTGGGTCCCAGGCTCTGACGGGCTCGCTGAGACGTCGAATGTACACATGCCAGGTGTGCGTTTCGCTGTTAATATCATGTTTTCAGACTGCGGCTTGGGCCAATTGGTTACCCAGGTAAATGCCCAAGTAAGTTACCTCGATAGCAGCCGTAAGGCTTTCCACTACCTGAGAACACCTCGTGTGCAACATGAAAGTGTAGTCGAATTTTCAGATACTGGCCCCAGCAAATCATCACTGACCTTCGAAGGGGAGCTCCTCAACGTCGGGCCATGTTAGTGCATATGCAGGACGGAAATCAGCTGGTGAGCACACACCAATGATGAGCTTTCAGACTTCGGCTCAGACCAATGACACCATGTTAGTCCTGCCAGTTCTAAGGCTTTTCAGATATCGGCTTCAGCCAGTCACGGCTGAATGCCACATGGCGCAGTTATTCCAAGCTATATGACAAGGCTCTGTCTCCCCACCTTGACTTCCCTTCTATGTATCGTCTGCCCCATCCGCGGTAAGATATGTATGACATTGCGAGATTTTCAAGCAGCAATCACGGACAGTCAAGAGACCGGTATCAGTCGACATCAAATCAAGCAACGAATCTCAGCTTGTTACCACGATGGTACCCTCTCGGACACGTCATTCTGACGAAGAGTGGCTTCAGCATCGAGCTGAAATTCAGCGCATGTTCCTCAATGAGTCAGCTTCTTTTAACGATATTATGCGAAAGCTCGAAGAAGACGGCTTTCCTGTAACGTAAGTCAACACGGCGGTCTCTTCATCTTCAGCTTCTCAAGAAACACGTGTTAGGAAATCGCAGCTTGAGTACAAGCTGAGGGTCTGGAGTCTTCGGAGGAGAATTCCAAAGAACAAGGCCGAGATCTTGTGGCAGTTTATCGACCATCGTCTGACCAAACGGGAAAATCAAGGAAAACTCAGCGAAGTCATCTACGACGGCAAAGCGATTGTGCCGACCAAAGTAAAAAAGGAGAGAAGTCGATATCAAACGATTTCGTTGCTCAAGTACCACCAAGGTGGGAATAAGTGTCACTTATTTCTCGTATCTTTGCTAAAAGCTTCCAATTGTAGGACCTGAGAGTCCCCAAACACCCGCAGGTTTCAATATCTCGATTTGCACACCAGCACCACGGCCTACGAGTCCCCAGACATCCGCAGAGGTTGACAGCTCGGTCTACACACCAGAACCACAGCCTGAGTGCTCCCAGATACCTGCAGAGTCCAAAATCGATTGGCTGTATCTTGCTGTGAGACTTCACGACTTGGATGACGTGAAGGCTCGGCTAGATGCAGGAGAAGATGTAAACAGGCCGTACGATACGGATGCTTCCAGAACACGAAGCTCATTGCAGCAGGCTGTAGAGGATGGAAGCCTCGAGATGCTTGATTTACTTCTTAAGGCAGGCGCTGATGTGAACGCACCGGCAGCTAGACGTCGCGGTGCCACGGCTATACAGCTAGCGGCTATCACTGGGAGTCTTGGAATCGCAGAGACGTTGATCCATTTGGGAGCCGTCGTCAATGTCTCTCGTGCAGAGGAAGACGGGAGAACTGCATTAGAAGGCGCGGCTGAGCACGGGAGAATAGATATGGTTCAATACCTCTTGTCTGAGGGAGCGGAAACGCGTGGGAGAGGCCAGTTTCAATATATGCGAGCAATCAAGCTCGCAGAGAAGGAAGGGCATTTGGTTGTGGCAAATTTGCTGAGAGAATATCGCACTTGGACAACTGCCGATCACCACATGTGGGATGTATTGAATAGCCATCAGGAAGATTGGGAAGGGCCATGGGCAGTGTTTTTATTTGATGACTGGGGCTGGGAAACCGAAATCGGCCATAATGAAAATATGTCAGGGGCCTGGGGGGATGATCCCATCGCGTAAGAGCCATTATCAAGATTGGTATTGATGACTCGGAACAAATCGAAACTGGAGATGGGGAATATACGTCGAGGGCCTCTTATGATAATTCCAGTTCGTAAGACACTACAACGGAATAACCAGAAGCAGGTCCCAAGATATCGGTTCAATAGGGAATATTACTGGCGGCGAGCGGCCAGTCAGGCTGGTCTTTCGGAACGGATCGTAAGGCGTGAGCCTTGGTTTTGAACTTCTGGCGTTTTGTGAAAAGAATCCCCTATGCATCAGACAGTTGTCACTTTACAAAGATTTAGGAGAGCGAGCTTACTACAGGAACACTTGGAACAAGCAGGGACTTGATAGTTTTTCGTTATCTGAATAAACCGCAGCTTCCAGAAAACCCTGCATGAAGCCAACTCAAGACCGATAGAGCTTTGCCTGCTGGTACTCATCACATATTTTTGACTTTCTGCTGATGGTGTTCCGCGCGTGTAAACGGCAAAGTCAGAGCGATTACTTGGCAGGGCCTCAAAGCCCGGACGACCTCGTCCGATTTTGGAAAATGGCGATGAGCCTACATCTTTAACGTCAATTTTGATATTTAGCCAACCACGATAAGTGCGAGACTCAGTACTACTGGAAGTGGGCAAAAACTCTGCGTGTAAGGCCTGACGCGGGAGGGATCGAGAGCCGAATCATACAACACGAGGAAATTCAGGCGATGTTTAACCAAGATAGAAACCATGTCATGTTCGAAACCGATCACAGCATACAGCTCACTGGAGAAACATGTCCTAGCTATGAACCATCCCGAAATTTCAAATGGATTATTCAACAATCATGAAAGACAATAAGTTGACGGCTGGCGTTCTGGACAACAATCACGAGGTGCAGAAACCGGAGCACATATCCCGACGATCAACTCCACGGCAAACCACGTACTTCACAAAAGGAAACCGACCAGACGATCTCAACAACTCATACACATGCCAACCACCGCGCCGTTGCAAACCAACGCACCTCTAAAGTCTAGACCTAACTCAACCACGCGGACAACATCCCGCTCCCCATCGGAGGCTCCCGCCAATACTTCGGCAGTTAAACCCCACAACCTCCTCCCCTCCCAAAACAGCAATTCTGCACATCACGCATCCATAAACTAAGGCAAGGTGATCAATACTCGCTCTAACTACCCAGGCAAAACCAAAAAACCTATTAACTTACCTGCATCCTCTCGCCGATCACATCTCAATCCAGGCCAGATGCAGTCTGCAACTCACCTCTAGTTACTCCGCCTTGGGGGAAATCTCTCTCTGGCCTTCCCAATCGGGATCCAGAGAAATACTATGTACCTGTGACGTTTAAACTTGCTCAGACGATGGAGCGAATGACAAAAGAGAGGAAGGAAACAGCTCCGCAGTGGGATGATGGAGTATGTTTCCTCCTTTGCTACACTATTGTATCGGTTCTGTCCAACGTGACTCTGAGACAATGGCGGTGAAGCTGCAAGACAGAGAGACAACGGGGCTGCCCGCGAGGCGCGCCTAATACCATCTCGCAATAGACTCAACCTTAATTTCACTCGTGCAGTCTGCAGAAGCGTGCCCCTCTTATTTTATTCACCCTCTTAAAAACTCCTCTTTCTCTGGCCCGTCTCCATCCAAATCCATCTTGTCTCTTTTCGAAAAGACCTGCATGTAATTCAGGACAAAAGTGAGGTAAGTAATTATAGTGCTCAGTGGGGCACAGGCGGGTTCCAGGTCCAGGTAGTCCACTGTCGAACACGCCTGCAATATCTAGCTTGCATATGTGATGCCGGTAAATACCTGCAATGAGCAGGCGGTTGAGACAAGGCGGACAGTGGGAACAGAGAGAGCCGCTGTCAAAGCGGGAGGGAAAGCGGGTGGATTGAGACCGGTGACCTCCCGCCATCACATTACATCGCTTGCGGTCTCTCGCGTATTACGAAGTACTCCGTAGACTCGCCAGGCTCTTGATGCCCGTGGCCCTAATAGGACGATCTGCCGAATATAGCTTCAAAGCGCATCCACTTTCGTCTCCAGCATCATCAGTCACCCGCCACTTGACTGGTATTCTTGTTTTGAGTTCATGGAGGCGGGTCTATAGTATAAACCAGCCAGCTTATTAACTCATGGGCAGCAAGGCAGTTAAAAAGCCGCGGGCAATGGGCATTGGCATATACCCTCAATCAATCCCACGGCGGCAGATTGACACATCCCCCATGCCTCAGCTCGCGTGGTCGGCTGGGCCTCTATTCACTTCCTTGTCTTGGCATTTCTTGGTGTGCCATCCCACTGCCACTGCAACCCCAGGACCAGCCAGCCCTGGGGAGTGGGAGGGGAGAACTGGGCGAACTGCCCGCCACTTTTCTGCCCATGAGTTACAACAGTCGCTTTGCTGGTGGATCTTAACCTCCAAGGCACGATGAGGTTTATTACCACACGTTCAATAAGATCTTGACAATGCTTAATCGCGTCGTTTGTTCGACAGAGTGACGAGATAACGAAAGACGGTGTGACGGGCGAGGTTGCACCGTCGCCTACACGTGCTATTACCCCGCGGCCCGCTGACACTTGGTAAACCCCCATAACCATGGCGAACAAGAGGGCGGGTGTTGCGTCTACTGCAACCACTCAGCGGAATACTCACCGGGGGCCCTATATCTCACATCTGTCACTGATATGCTATCGGAAGCAGCGTCGATGGAGCCCGAGGAGCACTGGGCGAACATATTGCCGCGCTTATTAAACCGGGCACTGGCCGAGGCACGTCCGTACGGAGAGAGCGTGTCCAAGGACAACTGAACCGATGACAAACGCGATGAGGGTATTGTTTATGGCCTGCGTACAGCGTCGCCACGCCGACGCGCCGAACCAACGCTTTGCGCCTGCGATGGTGCGTGCTCCGGTTGTTGATAGCGCTTAATGGAGCAAAACATTTGCTTGACTGATACGGAGCATTTGTGGCACCGACCCGGAAAAGGGCTCTGGCACTGCTGACGGAGAGAGGCACTGTTCGCAGGGGAGACAAGGGGCCAACCCAAGAAGCTGGGTTGGCGGAGTCTCGACCTCGTCGAGATCCGAAGAGCCTTGACAGGGTCGCCTGGTGCCGGTGGTTATTAAAGCTGGTCATAGCTGAGTTTTTTTGGGATGAGCAAGCATTGACAAGCATCGCGCACTTGGTGACCTCGGAGAGGGTTTGTTGCGTTTCCCACCATGGAAGAGGGGGGACCGAATGATTTGCTCTCGGACGATTGCTTGCCGGGGCAATCGAGATGGGGTGACACTCGTTTGCAACGTGCAGATAATCGAACAGGTCCTTGGCCCGATTTCCTAGGGTTAAAGGGGGCCAATATGTGCCAGTTGTATGACTGAAGGGGTTTGCGGCGGCATAGTACGATGGTGATGCCAAAAAATCCGGAGGGCGGACGGCATGATGGTGTCAGGCCCCCGGACGAGAGTCATTGGTCAATGCCGAGACCCTGGAGTGGGGGGTTCATCCTCGAAGGCTAGCCGGTTCGCAAAATAACAAGGTCGTTGATTATGATGGATTATGCCTTTTCATAGGCCTCCGAGGCATGTCCTGGTGGTGCCCGAACGGTGAACCCATCATCCTTATCCAGGCCGCGCGGGTTGAGAGAGCAAACGCGAGAGAGAGCGTTGAGCTGTCTATACATTGCTCCCCCATGGCGTGGACAGTGTGACTTGTGTATCGTGTTAGTCATGATTCTTTGTGGCCTGGCAACGACATCCAGGCATGGCGTTGGAAGCCGCGGAACTCCGGATCTGCAAGCCGGGCACGGCGGCCAGGACACACTTGAGATGTGACGGCCAAGAGATGGTATGAGCGATGGGAGGGTCACTAAGGTTATTAGTGAGGTTATCTGCCTTTCTCCGTTGCAGATCGCAGACAGCTTGCCAAATGATCCATTCTTTTTCGCAGACATCGCGATGAGCTCGTATCTTCTTGCCTGAATACTGCTGGATCAGGCCTACGTGGGCCAGATACGCGTGGTAAACTGATTCGGCCGAGCAAAGATGACTGCCAGACGCAGCCCAAAGATCAGCCGAACTAGAAGTCACGGTTCTCCATCGGTGCTGTATGTAGCCTGTCGATGCTTGACTCGTAAAATCGCAGCTGGAAGACATCCGGACCAGTGACTCGGGAGCCACAGTACCTAAATAGGATTACTAGAGAT